ATGAACATTTTGTGGTCATTAACTTTCCTTCTCTCTACCGTATAATTTTATTTTTGTTTTGCGGATAACATTTTAGCTACTTTTTTATTAATAAATTGCAAATGTTTATTTTGTTTGCTGGTAGACTTATTATTTTTAAAGCAGCTTAGGAATTACTAATTCAAATAGTGCATCATTTTAAATTTTAAAAAATTACTTTACTTTTAAACAAATTTGAAGTGGATTTATTGTTAAGTTCGATATGTTTGAACTTGTTACCCTCCATCATGGGAAGAGCATAAAACATAACGAGAATCGATGGGGATATTTATTTGAGGGCCTACGACATGGAAAATTACTGCTACCAAGGTACCGAAAAGCCAAATTATAGTTACTTCGTAATGCTAAAATATAGTAATTTCGTTTTGAGAATGCAGATTTTAGACGCATATCGACCCTTATTAGCTGGGCAATTTGCCAACTAACGTGGGTAGATATTGATAATTTTTGCTACAAACATTTGTCACCCAATGAGATCCTAAAATATCAAACTAAATCCAATTCGATTGAAAAATGTCTATTAAATCCTCAAAATATCGAAAAAGGGGGTGTCGTAAAAAGCTTTTTAAAAACCTGGTTGGTTTTTCATACTTTTTTGAAGAAAAATTTGTCACCCAATTCGAGTCCAACATATCAATTTAGAACCAATTGGGTGTAAAAAAGTTCCCCAAATACCGAAAATTGGGGTGTATCGTTATCTGGGGTCTATACCAAAACGTGATCGATATTGATAAATTTTAATTGGATGTTTTTACATCCAATAAGAACCCAAAATATCAAATTAAAGCCAATTCGAATGAAAAAGTTTCCAATATTTCGAATATTGAATCGTTGATATGGTATGATATATCTAATGTCTATACGAAAATGTGAATCGATTTCCATAATTTTTTGGTCCGTAGATTTTTGTCGCCCAATGAGAACCCATATCATATCAGAGCAACCTCAGTTAAAAAAAAAAACAAGTGAAAAAGCGTTAAGTTCGGCCGGGCCGAACTTTGGATACCCTCCACCATAGATATACTGGCAGGTACTTGAAATGAAAATATAGGGAACATACCAAAAAATGGACCTATACCGACATTTCTACAAACCGAGTGTGTTAGAACCAAACCCAAAACGCGGAAAAATCAGATAATTATTTTAATATAAAAAATGGGGTTATATGGGGACTACCCCTAAAAGGGGTTGACTATTAATAATTTTTGGTAAGGACCTCAAAATACCGAAATTTTGGGGGTACCTATATATGGGGGCTACTAGAAAAAATGGACTTATATTTAATTTTTTAGTAGAGATATTTGGTACCCAATAAGAACCCAATATACCAAATTTCTGCGAATACCGAAATTTGGGGGTACCCTTATATGGGAGCTACCAGAAAAAATGGACTTATATTTATAATTTTTGGTGAAGATATTTGGTACCCAATAAGAACCCAATGTACCAAATTTCAGAGAATTCGGTTGAAAAACGCACTCAAGAACCCCAAAATACCGAAAATTGGGGGTACCCTTATATGGGGGCTACCCGAAAAATGGGCCGATGTTAATAATTTTTTGTGGAGATATTTGGAACATATTAAGAACTTAAAATACTAAATTACAGACAATTCGGTGGAAAAATACGATCAAAACACCCAAAATACTAAAAATTGGTAGGTACCGTTATATGGGGGCTACCAGAAAAAGTGGACCTATATTTATATTTTTTTGTGGAGACATTTAGTACCCAATAAGAACTCAATGTACCAAATTTCAGCGTATTCGGTTGATAAACGTGCTGTTATATGGGAGCTATGCCTAAACGTGGACCGATATATCCCATCTTCGAACTTGACCTGCTTGCAGACAAAAGACAACCCTATGCAAAATTTCAGCACCCTATCTCAATCCCTTCAGAAGATAGCGTGATTACAACAGACGGACGGACAGACCGACGGACATGGCTAGAATCAAGAATATATATACTTTATAGGGTCGGAAATTAATATTTCGATGAGTTACAAACGGAATGACAAAATTAATATACCCTCCATACTATGGTGGAGGGTATAAAAAAAACTTCCCAAAAAGCCCAATATTGGGGTGTACCGTTACACCCCTAATATTCGGTTGCTCTGATGTGATATTATGGGTTCTCATATGGTTGGCTATAGTCTTTATAAAATCCTCAAAATATCGAAAAAGGTGGCAACCGTAATATAGATGGTGGCTGTATAAAAACTTGGATCAATTTTAAAAATTTTTGGTACAATGATTTACCACCCAATGAGAATCCAAAATATCAAATTTGAGACTAATCGGTTGAGAAAAAAGTTCCCAAAAACCAAATAATGGGGTGTGTCTTTGCATGGAGGTTATGCCAAAAAGTGAAACCGGATATTGATAATTTTTGATAGGAAGATTTTACATTTTTCCTAAATTTCAAATTAAATCCAATTTGTTTGAAAACTTTTCCCCAAATACTAAATTATGGAGTGTATTGTTATATGCGAGCTCACCCGAAAGATGGGTCAAGATTGATAATTTTTCGTAGGGAAAATGTATACTCAATGACAGTTCAAAATATAAAATTGTAGGCAATTAATTTGAAACAAAATATCAAAAATCCCCTAATCTACCGAAATTTTGAGACGTTCCTTCCTTTTATATGCTTTTTAAGCTGGATCAATATTGATAAAATCTGCTGGGAAGATTTGCTTGCTATGCGATGAGAACCGAATATAAAAGAGGTTTCGAATTTAATGTTGATCCAATCAGTTAGTCACTTATAAAATATTGACTCTATGGCGGGGGACGTTTCAGGGGGAGAAGTGTGTCCCACCTTCGGACTTGATCTATGCTTGGTAAAGATAATAGGTATACAACCTTGACACATAACACATCTTCTGTCTGATTCCTATAGCCATCGACCTTTATTCCTCTTTCATTTATTTATGTAAGCTTCTCAATTCCCCTTTATTTCCCTAATCTTCTCTCCCCTACAGATCTGTCTTTATCTCCTCTCTTCACTGTATCTCTTCTCGGTCTCAAAGTGCTGCAGCCACATAAGTGACTGCACATCCTCAAACCTAATTTGATTCATTTTTTATTGACATTTTTGACCATTTGTGGGGGAGATGCCACAAGGAGTGGACTAATGTGTTCCATCTTCAGACTTGATCATGATAATAGATTGCACAAAGTTTCATTCAAATCGGACAGTCCGATTTGCATTTGATCATTTTTTCGGGGAGTTACCAAAAGGAATGGACCGATATTCCCCATGGCCGAACTTTAACAATATCTATAATATAATTATTGATGCTGTGGTAATCCTTTAAAGGATATTATTTTTTTATTTTTAGCCATTTTAACTAATTCCAATTCATGTTCCCCCTATGAGAATTTAAGCGCCTAAAAGTATGCTTTAAATTTTCAAATAAGCTGCATTATGTGGATATTATCAAACACACACGATTCTTGGTTTGAAGTAAATAAAAATTACCTTAAATAACATAAAATAAAATCTATAAATTGTGCTCCTCATTTCCAAGCCCATTGGGTCCATCTAGATCTAATAAAAAAAAATAAATAATAAATCAATAAAATAAATAACCCCAAAAATATTGATTACTGACGATGATTAATGTTATCTCCTCTTTCCTTTAGATATATTATATATTCACACCTGAGCCTTTTTTTGTTGCTTTTGGGTCACCAGCAAAGGGCATTAAAGGCTTCACCGGCCTATATCGTGTGCCAATAGAATTCATTCATTTGTTATCTATCTAAACAATGACCGCTCAATATGATAATTGTATTTGTTGTTGTGATAATAATAATAATCGGATTTTGTCTTAGTGGCTTTCACTGCTTAAATACACACTTACTGATACCCTGATGATTTAATTAATCTTCTCCCTTATCTATTTTGTTTATTTTTAGAATACACAACATAAACAAAACGGCACAGACACACACACACACTCGGAAAAGAGCAGGCACACCGGCGACCACCTCAACAAATAAAGACAATGTCAGTGTTTGTCCTTAGATAAACGTTTATCAATGTGCTGTTAAGGGTCCTCGTGACGTGATAATAGAACGGCAGAAGCAGCAGAGTACAAAACGGCAGTAGTTATATTGAGGCAAATGAACAACAACAGCGCACCGCTCCAAAATATCGGATCTCAGCATAATTTAAACTATTTATCGGAGTGTGTGGTGCAGCAAGCACAAATCTCTGGTGCAGGTAATGCTCGCCCGGCATGAATTATCAAAAAATTGATTTTGGAAGGCACCACCACCAACTACTACGTCATTATCAAAGTTGTCGTTTGTCGTCATCGTCTTAGTTGGATATCTCTGCTGCACAATTCAATAACTTGGATCACTGCAACCACAACAGTCGTCTGGTGGCATTTACCGGCAACAGGCCCATTTGAATTTTAATCTTCTTCGTCGTCGTCGTACGGGAATAAAAGTGTCAATATATTAAAATACAACAACAACAACACTAGCCAACAACAAAAATGCTCCATCGCACACCCACATAAAGCGAACATCATACTCCATCCTTGCAACAGCAGTTTTATATAAAAATGAAATAAATTGCATTTTAGACTTGCCTCATCCGCCTCCTCTTCATCTTTATTTATGAAAGTGAAAAGTAACAAGAAAAAGGAAAAAAGAGGAAATTAAAAAAAAAGATTTAATCAACAACATTATAGAAAATAAAATAACAACATTTAAACCTTCAAGCAGTCATCCGAGTGCATGACTTCTTGTTCTGGCTGTCTTAATACGAAAGAGGAAACCTAAAAGGACAAACACCCACACACACACCAACCATCAAGACACTAGACGTAAACTAAGGTTCCATTGCTCCTTGCAAAAGAAAGAGAAAAGACAGAAATTATCAACACCGATTTTCCCTCCATTAAACAATTACCGTTTTGGTGGGAAGGGCTGCTGGCAATGTCGCCCGGTTCTTTAAATGGTGGAGCAGGAGCAGCCGCAGCAGCAGCAGGTTATATCGATAGTAGTAGCGCCACCTCCAATACATTTCAAATAGCCGCCAACGGTATCATGGATTCATCGAGAGTTTCAACATGCCTCATCTCGATGCTATTGATTGTCTATGGCAGTTTTCGCAGTCTCAATATAGAGCAGGAAGCCCGCGAGCGGGAGCTAAAGAAACGCAATGAATCGACAACGAATTTACTGACGGGCGAACCGGTACAACAGGAAACGAGTAAGTTTGAGGGAATTGCATATATTTTTGTTGTAATCTTTACTGATGGTGGAAAAAATCATCAAAGTATTAGAAAATATATCCACAGTAGGTGGTGAATAAATTATTCATAGAGGTGAATAAATTATTCATAGAGATGAATAAATTATCCACAGAGGTGAATACATAATTCAAAGAGGCAAATAAATTATACACAAAGGTGAATAAATTATACACAGAGGTGAACAAATTATTCATAGAGGTGAATAAATTATCCAAAGAGGGGGTTAAATTGTTCACAGAGGTGAATACCTTATTCACAGACGTGGAGAATTATCCACAGGGGTGAATACATTATTCACGGATGTGAATAAATTATACACAGAGGTGAATAAATTATAAACAGAGGTGAATAAATTATACACAGAAGTGAATAAATTATACACAGAGGTGAATAAATTATTCAAAGAGGTGAACAAATTATATACATAGGTGAATTATATTCATGTTTTCCAACCGAATTGGCTGTAATTTAATATTTTGTGTTCTATGATAGCAAATCTCCCTACATAAAATTAGGTATATATACCCTTTAGGTATAGACTCCATATAAAGGTAACCTCTAATTTCCAATATTTGGGTGTTATGGACACGTTTTCCAACCGAATTGGCTGTAATTTGATCCTTTGGGTTCTCATAGGATATCAAATCTCCCAACTAAAAATTGTCAATATTGGTCAACCTTTATGTATAGCCCCCATATAAATGTAATATCAAATTTTCCATATTTGGGTATTATGGACAAGTTTTCCAACCGAATTGGCTGTAATTTGATATTGTGGGTTCTTATTAGGTATCAATTCAACCTACCAACAAATTATCAATATTAGTCCAATTTTAGGTATAACCTTCATATAAAGGTAACCTCCAATGTTCGATATTTGGCTATTATGGACATGTTTTCCAACCGAATTGGATGTAATTCAATATTTTGTGTTCTCATAGGGTAGCTAATCTTCCAAAAAAAAATTATCAATATTGGGCCTATTTTAGGTATAACCCATATAAAGGTAACCTCAAATTGTTGGTATTTGGCTATTATGGACACGTTTTCCAACCGAATTGGCTGTATTTTAATATTTTGGGTTCTCATAGGGTAGCTAATCTCCCAACTAAAAATTATCAATATTGGCCCACTTTAAGGTATAGCACCCATATAAAGGCAACCTCCAATCTTCGATATTTGGCTATTATGGACACGTTTTCCAACCGAACTGGCTGTAATTTTATATTTTGAATTCTCATAGGATAGCAAATATCCAAACTAAAAATTATCAATATTGGCCCACTTTAAGGTATAGCACCCATATAAAGGCAACCTCCAATTTTCGATATTTTGCTGTTATGGACACGTTTTCTAATCAAATTGTCCTTAAATTAATATTTTGGTTCCTAAATGGGAAGAACATCTCCATACGAAAAATCATTAAGATCGACACACATTTAAGCCTAGCAACCATATGGTAATACCCCTAATTTTCGATATTTGAACTCATTTTCCCTTAGTTTTACATTTTGGATGACAAACCTACCGAAAATTATCAATATCGATCCACTTTTAGTTATAAATGGCATATGGGTCTAAAATCTGTTGGTTATCCCTTATCCTACGAGTAATTTTTCAAAACATTTTTGACCTCTTTATAAACCCCCATTTTGCATTCCTTTCTTTTTAATCATAACAATATGTTTACCCTCCCTTCTTTTTATTCTAGGTAAATTTGCCACATTGGATACAATGCATGCCCTCTGTTTGCCGTTGGGCGCCTCCATTTCACTTTTAATAATGTTCTTCTTTTTCGATTCAATGCAACTATTGTTTGCCGTCTGCACAGCAAGTAAGTAAAAGATTTCCACTTTCTGTTCTATTTTTGATTTTTAATAAACTGTTGTTTCCACTCTTCCTCCTTCCCTGTGACCAGTAATTGCAACAGTGGCTTTAGCCTTTCTACTCTTGCCCATGTGTCAGTATATAATACGCCCCTGCACTGATGGTACACGAATCTCATTTGGAGTCTGTGGACGTTTTACTGCCGCTGAACTATTTAGTTTTACTCTATCGGTGTCAATTGTTTGTGTGTGGGTGCTAACCGGTCATTGGCTGTTGATGGATGGTAAGACAAACAAAAATTGAAAAAAATAGAATATTGGAATTTCCATACTAATTGTAATTATTGCTATTTCTTTTTTTCTTCCTCAGCTATGGGCATGGGCCTCTGTGTGGCCTTCATCGCCTTTGTCCGTTTGCCCAGCCTTAAAGTATCCACCCTGCTGCTAACCGGCCTTCTAATCTACGATGTCTTTTGGGTCTTCTTCTCGTCGTATATATTTAGCACAAATGTTATGGTGAAAGTGGCAACACGTCCCGCCGACAACCCGGTGGGTATTGTTGCGCGAAAACTTAATTTGGGCAATATGGTGAAGGAGGCGCCAAAATTGAATTTACCGGGAAAACTGGTTTTTCCCAGCATACACAATACGGGACATTTTTCAATGTTGGGTCTGGGTGACATTGTAATGCCGGGACTGTTGTTGTGTTTTGTGCTGCGCTACGATGCCTATAAGAAGGCGCAAATTGTAACGAACGATCAAATGCTACCACCGCCAAAGGGTGTCGGCTCAAGGTTGACATATTTTCATTGTTCCTTATTGGGGTGAGTACAAATGCACATACACACTTTTTATCAAGAGTCGAAATCGGTCAAGAAACTGACGAAATTTATCCATTATCGTTATAAACGATATCAAGTAAAGGGCAGAACTTGTTCCGCCATTTTAACCCATATATGGTTAGAAATGATCTCGACTATTTTGGAAAATAAATGTTAAACGTGGAAAATAAAAATATATTTTCCTCCGATTGATTTTCTTTTATTATTTGAAAATCATTTTTTCTTATAAACGCATTCCTAATTTTTTCTCTTTTTTTCACAGTTACTTTTTGGGTCTACTTACCGCCACTGTAAGCTCTGAGGTCTTTAAAGCAGCGCAACCAGCTCTTCTCTATTTGGTTCCATTCACATTACTGCCTTTGTTGACAATGGCTTATCTGAAGGTAAGAATCCATCAATCCTTGAAAAAATCCACGCCTTGTCTAGGTCCTTGAAAAAATATTCTTTAACAAATCCACGCCTTGTCTAGGTCCTTGAAAAAATATTCTTTAATAAATCCACGCCTTGTCTAGGTCCTTGAAAAAATATTCTTTAATAAATCCACGCCTTGTCTAGGTCCTTGAAAAAATATTCTAGAAAAATATTCTTAATAAATCCACGCCTTGTCTAGGTCCTTGAAAAAATATTCTTAATAAATCCACGCCTTGTCTAGGTCCTTGAAAAAATATTCTTAATAAATCCACGCCTTGTCTAGGTCCTTGAAAAAATATTCTTTAATAAATCCACGCCTTGTTTTGGTCCTTAAAAAATATTCTTTAATAAATCCACGCCTTGTTTTGGTCCTTAAAAAATATTCTTTACTAAATCCACGCCTTGTTTTGGTCCTTAAAAATATTCTTTAATAAATCCACGCCTTGTTTTGGTCCTTAAAAAAATATTCTTTAATAAATCCACGCCTTGTTTTGGTCCTTGAAAAAATATTCTTTAACAAATCCACGCCTTGTTTTGGTCCTTAAAAAATATTCTTTAATAAATCCACGCCTTGTTTTGGTCCTTAAAAAATATTCTGTAAAAACCCACGCCTGTTTTTGGTCCTTAAAAAATATTCTTTAATAAATCCACGCCTTGTTTTGGTCCTTAAAAAATATTCTTTAATAAATCCACACCTTGTTTTGGTCCTTAAAAAATATTCTTTACTAAATCCACGCCTTGTTTTGGTCCTTAAAAAATATTCTTTAATAAATCCACGCCTTGTCTAGGTCCTTGAAAAAATATTCTTTAATAAATCCACGCCTTGTCTAGGTCCTTGAAAAAATATTCTTTAATAAATCCACGCCTTGTCTAGGTCCTTGAAAAAATATTCTTTAATAAATCCACGCCTTGTCTAGGTCCTTGAAAAAATATTCTTTAATAAATCCACGCCTTGTTTTGGTCCTTAAAAAATATTCTTTACTAAATCCACGCCTTGTTTTGGTCCTAGAAAAAATATTCTTTAATAAATACACGCCTTGCCTATGCCCTTGAAATATTCCCTAAAAAATGCTAAAATGTTGTGATTATTAATTTATTTTTCATTTCTCTTTTTGTTTTTAGGGCGATCTGCGTCGCATGTGGAGTGAACCATTTATTACCCAACAACCATCAAAACAACTGGAAGTCTGAGTGTTTTTCATCAAACGAAAATACTGTTTTTTTATTTTTATTTTAACACACTACTACTACTATAACTTAATGTATAAATTATAAGTTCAAAAACACGTTTTTTTTCAAAAACAACATTTTTTGGTTTTTTTAGTAATACGTTTTTTACAAACAACAAAAAATCTATATATAAAGAGAACAAAAACAAACAAAAAATAAGAAAGAAAAAACAATATATGGAATATGAACAAAAAAAAAGCATAGAATGAAAAAAAGAATTCAAAAAATAATAATAAAATTTTATTTATAAAAAAATAAGTTAGGTTAGTTTTTAAATTGCCTTTAAAATTATTATTATAATGTATTATTATTTCATTATTTTTTTTGTTTTATAAGTTTTAAGTTTCATTTATTTTTTTCCAATCATCTCTCAATTAACAATAAATCTCCCCCATCCCATCCCTCTCATTGTTAATTATCCTCATTCATCCACCGATCAAAAAAAGGCTTTGGATTAATTTTTTATATACATATATCCTATCTTTCCCTTCTCCCTTCCCCTTTCATATTGTTTCTTTCCCCGGAAACCCCCCAGTCGAATATAAAAATAATATTACAAAGATCAAGAGAATAAGAAGAAAAAAAAACACATTCTGTCACATTACTTACACATAGACATATTATGGAATACTAAAATAAAATACAAAAAAAGTATGATGGAAATAAAAATAATTTAAAATCAATAAAAAAAATAGCATCTATTATTATTAATAATAACAACAAGAAAAATTGTGCAAAAATAAAAACAAAACAAAAAAACTTTCTTGAAGTTATGAACAAAGTGAAAGATAAATAATTTTTCGAGGCTCATTTTTTATTATCTTATTTTAGGGGTTTGTGTCTGTTGTCATTGTTTTTTTGTCATCTCTTCAAATAATTCTCAACATTGTTCCAACTTTCTGGCAAGTCTATAAAATCTGCAATAAACTTTAAATTGTCATAGAAAAACATCTTTTAAACACACCTTTCTCTGGGTTAAAAAAAACATTATTTAAATAACACACGCTTGTTGAAGTTCTAGAAAAATAATATGTGTTTAAAAATTCAAAAACATTATTAATAAAGTCTCGCCTTTTAGAGGTCCCTGAAAAATATTCTTAAAAAATTCAGGCATTGTAGAGATTCTAGAAAAAATATTCTTTAAAAAATTCATGCCATGTATAGGCCTTTGGAAAAATATTCTTAAAAAATGCACGCCTTGAAGAGGCCCCTGACAAATATTCTTTAAAAAATGGACGCCTATATACATTCATTCATATGTATAATAATTATTCCATGTTTATTTTTGTTTTGTTCTTTTTCAAAAAATAATTTTACCACAAAAGGAAAAAACAAAATTACATTTATAGCTAAACAAATTCATAATAAAAATAATAATAATAATGAAGATTGTGCAACAAAAACCATCTTGAAAATACTGACATATTTCAATTATTATTATAAAAAACAATAAATAACATAACATGAAATAAAGACAAAGATATATAAGAAGAAAAAAAACAAACAAACAAAAATAATAATAGTATTTAAGTTATAAACTTGGTTAAACAAAAAATAAAAATAATAATTTTTAAATAAAAAAAAAACAACAACAAATGAAATATATCAGTTCTATTGAAACAAAAAATATAAAAACGACTATCTGTAATTTATTCCCATGTATATATATTACATAAGGAGGAGGGAAGGTCATTACAAGCAAAAACTCTTATTCAAACGGAAATTACAACATCTTACAAATCTCAAGGGGTAAACACAATATCAGTTGGGACTGTCAGCTTTGTTTTTAAAAAAATATACTGGCTGTTCAAGAATCATGAATAGTTTCGCGAATGTTCGATTATCCCTGAACGGGATAAATGTCAATGTCAACTTCCATTCAAAAACTAAAAAGTTCTAATGTAAAAGCCGTTTAACCCAATAATTGATCTATGGATTCTTACTTAGCTGGCTTGTGACAGAACACAATTGTTCCATACGCCGAGCTTAAAAAAGATTTACAGGTCGTGTGCGCATATCTTCAAATTTGAAAGTCCATGCTCCGAGATGTTGTCTACCAGTTGATCTTTTCATCGAATTCGTGGCCTTCCCCTTCTAGGTGATCATCAGTTGGCTCGGTTTTATGTGTCTTTTGAGTAGGGACATCCTCATCCATTCTCACAACATGACCTAGCCAACGTAGTCGCTACAGCTCGATACGTCTGACTGTGTTGATGTTCGAGAATAGATGGTATAGGATAGGATGGGACATCCTCATCCATTCTCACAACATGACCTAGCCAACGTAGTCGCTACAGCTCGATACGTCTATGTCGATGTTCGAGAATATTTGATATAGCTCATGGTTCATTCGACGACGATATTCACCGTCGACGCAGATTGGCCCATAGATTTTTTTCTGCATAGTTGTATTATTTTTGCAGGAATGCCGAACGCAGAATGCGGCTTTATAGTCGAAAAATAGGTGGAATTTGTCGATGTGTTTCTCAGTTTTTTTTCAGGATCTGATGCAAAGTGAGAATCTGGTCGATGTTGGATTTGCCAGGCCTTGAGCCGCATTAGTATGGTCCAATAATGTCATTGACCATTGGCTTCAGTCGTTTACACAGTACGCTATGCGTTGGGAAGGAGACTTATTCCTCTATAGTTGGTGCATATGGTATTGTCAATCATTGGACATGCATTCCTCTAGCCAAATTGTACGAATCAGCTGGTGCATGATCCTGACCAGCATCTCACCACCGACCTTGAATGATTCGGCTGGTAATCCATCGGCACCTGCTGCTTTATTGTTCTTCAGCCGATTAATTGCTACATTGACCTCATCTTGGCTAGGTGTTATACAAACTATATCAACTCTTATTGGTTCTGGGGTATCTTCTTCATCGTCACTAGTTTATGCCAGAAGCATGATGCAATAATAAGGTGATGTATCACAACAAAAACCTTTGTTTTTGTCTCGACCTTCTGTCAAATTTTCCCATATAATATTTCTCATGGTTGGCAACTCTGTACATCGAATTCAAGTAGAAATTACGGACTTTGAGACATCAGCTGAGCTAAATGGACTACCTATTTATTGTGCCATGGCCAGAAGCTTTGCAAAATACTCCTTCCAAATCCTCAACACGCTATCTGTATCTGTCATCAGGTTTCCGGAGTAGGCTTCTGGTATCAGTTGTGTTTGCAGATGCTACATAAGGACGAGTGCGAACCATGGCTGCTACAAGGTAGTGGTCTGAGTCGATATTCGCCCTCGGTTCGATTGAAAGCCTAAAACCATTCAGCATTCCGTCTATCACAACATGATCATGGATTGTAGCTATGCAATAAACTCTAATTATTATTTTATTTATTATAATTTTTCTTTACTGGATTATAAAGAGGAAATGTGTACACCGAATGTTTTTTATAATAAATTGACATTTAACCGCCATTTATTTAACAGTTACATATCTGGCCACATTGCACTCTTAATAATACCAGACCTGTCAATTTAGTGCATGACGTATCGTAACGTTTGAGTTAAGGTGATACTTCAATTACAACGTAAGCCAAAAAAATAAAACAAATTAATCTGCCGATTACACAATAGATGAAAGGGTTTTTTCTTCCATGGATTTGTTAAAAATCGATCTATGCACACATATTCTTTAAACGTACGACCATATAAAATGCAACAAATGGCTGTGGTTCCAGAACCTGCAAGAATGTATTTTTTTACATGGATTTTCAAAAAAGAGTAAAACTTAGTAGATTCTTGAAAAAAATACAATAAGAAATGACAGTGACAGTTAGTCAATCGAAAACAAACCAATTTTTGTTATCGATAGACTTGCTGTTATCGCCGTCTTGCATGCGATATCCCTAATCGGCACTTCTCCCCATGTCTCTTTCTCAACAACGTACAATTTTCCTTCCATTCCATTTTCAGTTCGATGTTTATCGGCCATTCTTTCTTCTCTTCAACAATATGTAGCAGTTGGAACGTTTTTAATTTCGACTAGGCATCATTCATACGACGATATAAACTATACTCCACAAGAATAGGCAAAAACAACGTGATACGGTGAAAAAATCATCCGAAAAAATATATTACGTGACGCGTGAAAATTTAAATAAACGCAATAATTTGTAACAACAATAACAATACTATGTAATAAAAAAAATTACAAATAAAACAAAACAAAGCTTGTCTGTGCAAAAAGTGAGAAAACAAGCAAAAGAAAGAGTATGTTAAAAATTTCTTTATAGTTGGGTGTGCGGCAACAGCAAAAGTTCAGTCAGCCACAAGTCAAGCCCAAAATACGAAAAAAAATAAAGAACGCAAGATATTTTTCTTTCTAATATTTTATGTATATATATAAATATATATATTTAAGCACGGAAATAATTGAAAAAATGTCGAGATTTTTTTCTCGCTCTCTAATCGATTTGTTGAAAAATGTGGAGTGATCTGTGAAAGATTACAACAACAACACCAACAAACAATAAGAATATTTTTTTTCTACTTCAGTTTTCATGGTTGATGTTTTGTTGTAGTAAGTAGATGGATGTGAGTGAGTGATTATGATGTTGATGATGATGATGTTGTTTTTGTAGAAGGAATCAACAGTGAAACAAATACAACAACACCATAGTGTGAAGATTTTTATGGTTGGGTTTAAGGTGTACCTACACGACAAAACAAGCACATCCTCAATATTAACGGCGGCAGTGACAGAGAAAGAGGTCGCATCAACAACAAAAACAACAACCGTAAATAGAGCTAAAATTTGTTTTTCTTCGCCCATAAAGAAGACAACGAACATTGAACGGTCTTGTCTGAGTCTTCTGCTAGATGGGTGTTCTCTGTGTACATAACATAGAGTGAGAGAGAAACGGTAATGAGCAAGAGCATAACTGCATTGTGTTCACATCGCATATTGTTGCATATGTTACAACAGAGGAGGCGCGCGCCTTTTATCCTCGCCGTTACACAAAGAGAGGAGAT